TATGAACGACGGGAGTATATGTATTTTACTAAAATAATAGATGTATTTTACTATATTTTATTGTATTTAATAATTAATAGTTTATTGTATTTAAATAAATAGACAGACGCAGTAATTGTGCATTTTACTGCCCTACAAACTAAAAACTAAATTAAACATTACCTCTGTATAATATTAGTGTAGATGATAATGAATAAATATTAGACAATTTACAGGAGACGAAAAAACCGTTTCATATTTTTTCTACAACAAGTTTTTTTATTATTATATCTGATCATTTAATGGATAGGCATTTTCAAGAAATCTTCATTAGTTTCAAAATTACTGTAAGTAGCTGGTATTAGTTAAATATTTGCGTATGTTTATGCAGCTAACTGTAATATAGATTGGTATTGGCAAACGAAATAATAAAGTTCAAAGACTTTAATCGAACAAAAAACTCAAAATTTCAAAAGCGAGTGATAACGTGTTCTCTGTAGATAGGTGGTATTTCCATACCAATATTACGACACGTAACTTAGGTAGTATAGGTATTTTCTTGTTACTCCTTATTTATGGCGAATTTGAGGTAATCGATTAAAGGAAACGATTCGTAAATTAACCATGAAAAGAACTGCATTAAAAAATGATAATCGCCAAAAGTGTATATAGATGGTGTTGGTTCTTAAGTGTCAATTTGCTCATAGTAGCTAAAGCCCCTTATGCTACAAGTTACCATCCAGACCCCACATACATATAAAAGTTCATATTTCTTTTCCACCTTCGAATCGGAATCGGACCCGGCACTCGAACCACTTTACCACGGACGTCGTTAATGTTAAAATGTCTAGTGGGAATAAAAATTTGTCTGTCATCTAGGCTGAGAAATATCTGTATTCCAAATTTCAAATAAATTTGTACACAAAATTTCGAATTTGTGATATTAGTCAAAATGGTCTATACTATTATAAAGAGGAAAGATTTAATTCTTTTTTTTTTGTCCAGTAATTTCGGAGCCTATTTGATGCAACGGATTGTTCCGAAATTACTGGACCTATTTTAAAATTTTACGGAAATTTATATCATACGCGAGTGACATAGGCTGTAATTTACGTGGGCGAGATCGCGGGAAAACACCTTGTATAGTATACATACAAAAAAGACAAACTTTTTAAATTGTCAAAAGTCGACTGTTGACTTTTTAAAAGTCAAAGTTTATCATCTATCTAATACATATTATAAATATGAAAGATTTATTGTTTAATTGCATTGATTAGGGTCGGAAATGTTTTTTAAAAATTTATTTAATTTACAGGAAGCTACATTAAACGCGAACGATCTAGGCTATTTACGCGGGCGAAGTCGCGGGAAAATAGCTAGTATACTAATAAACATAAGCTACTTTAAATTGGTAAAATGCAGTTACGATGTTATACGTAGAGGCATCCAGGTACATATAACGTTGCTAAGGAGTCTAGTTGGTAAAAGTATTTTGTTTTGTCGCGCGACCTTGGGGTCGGCGTGCACTGCGATGTTATTTCTGTCGTAGACTACCGCTGGTAGCTGGCATCGAGTGTTTTACTTGTATTGGTACAACGCACTATTTTTGCATTTTATTTGCGATAGAACATTAGGCGGGGATAATTTATAAATTATTACGTTAATTAATGTAGGTATATAGTTATTTATGTACACTACTTTAGGTACAAGGTGGTAGTTTGCTTTTGGAACAGTTGTAAAATTTCTTGTAGCAGCAGCAGCATATGACTGATTTTGGAAAAACCTCTAAACGATTCAACGATGACCTCCGTGGTTGAACGGTTCGCAAGCCGGTTCAAGCTGTCGTCATATCTTAAGATTTCGATTCCCATTGTTGAACCCATTTTCAATTAACATCTGTAAATGAAGCCGATTTTAAAGTACGTAGTTCTATCGGAGTATCGTCGAAGCGTATGAACCTACTACTCGTTCGAGTTATCATGACACCTGTCTAGAAAGAAGTTTCTGCATAGCACTTCGTGCAGCAGTTGCGGGCGATAAGCGAGCTTGCGCGGGCCGCGGTTGCGCGTTAAGCACAGGCGTGCTTTAGTAAAATATGACAATCAATATTCATAAAATAATTTAAAAAGTTCTATTTCGACGTAAAGAAAGCAAAAATAAATAATAATGTTATTTTTTACGCTCAATCGTTACTATAACTTTTCCTCTATTTCAGATATATTACTTTTATTGTCATCTTTACTTAATAAAAATCCAATAACAATTGCAGCAGGAGAATTTTCATTCATTAATACCGACAAAATATACTTATTTGCTTTCCAAAATTTAATAGCGCAGATGCGTATAAAACGCTAATTGTTATACTGTTGCTACTGAAAGGCAAGTTCCGAGCCAGGTGTCATGTTAGCTCGAACGAGTAGTAATCAATCGTGTCAAGACTCGGGCGTTAAGAGCTATTCCGCAAAACAAATAACGTATCTTTCGGTCCGATGCGGATCCATCAAATGTCAAATTACACCACCAAAAGTTCATTAATTGGTATTGTTGACATAGTAAAACAGAAACAAACGATATGACCCTCGGTTAAGTTTTTATTCTATTGGATATTTATTTATTCCATTGGATATAAGTGAATCGCGAATTAAAAATAAATATGGCTTTCAATTTATATATTTTTTAAATAGAAAACATAATTCATACATTAAAATGAGATTAAAATAATACTTATCTTAAAAGCGACTTAATTATTCAAGAGACTGCTAAATATTTAAAATATATATTTTGAAGTTGGTTTAAAGGGACGTCTTTGGAATACCCGAAAAAGACTTCATAAATGCATTTAGGCGCACCAAGGAGTTGGAGCTAACCACAGAACACGTTCTTTAAGCTTACTACTTCCAATAATGAGTGATGAATGAAAACCTAATGCGAGGTTTATCTTCTGTGCTCTCCATAAAATATATGAATATATTTTTAATGAAAAATGCTTAAAAATCCATTTGTTCCGGGTACATTGGTTGTACAATAAAACCTTACATTTAATTCAAATTTCAAAGAATTTTTAATGCAGCTTCTAAGTTTTCACACAAATAAAAAATGTGTTTAAATTCTCTTTAACTAAAGATTTATTAGAATGTTATTAATGAACTATACTCTTTGGTGTAAGCAGATAGATTTTTAAACTATTAGGTTGGGGAAAGTTTTCTCATCTTCAATCTTTCTGGCTATACCATATGTATCTGCCTAGTTTCGGTATCATTAAAAAGTTTAAATTTTAAAGAATGTGTGATTTCCATTTCCAAGTTATTCATACTATATGTGAAAAGGCTTTTTCCCCAACCTAATATTTTTAATTGGTTAAAAGTCAGTATTTTTTTGTATAATTTAATAATGCTGTAAAAAATCTCTCAATTCACTAAAAAATATAAACAGCATGGTAGCATGCAAATTCATTTTACTGGTAACTGTATTGGTTGTCGATTCATAAGTCGTTGTGTTTTGATCGTATCGAGTTGAATTTCTATCGTAGAGCGTCCAAACATCACCTGAATAACACATTTCGATAGGACTTTGATCGAACGGTTTACAAACTTCAGCGTTATTTAGATTGTTCATAGTTACGTGAATTGTGCTACAGGTCAATGGAAAAAATAAACTTATCTCGGGTCTGTGTGTTTTGGTACCATCTTTGTTAAAGTTTTAATTCTAGTTTTAATTATTTAACTGTTGAACTAGTGGGACTCATGCATTTGAGTAGTTCAACATTAGAAACGTTATTGCTTATCCCGCTATGCTATGCTGAAAATACCTATTTTGGAATGAACAACTGAGAACCACTCCGTAACTTAATTAGGTTAATATTTTCACATAATTTAGAGATAAGGCAATACGACAAAAACCAAAATAATATATGCTTGTGATTTGGTTTAGTGCCCTTTCAATTCAGCTAATCCGAATTGCAGAGATTGAGCTACACCGATTGGACTGAACAACATTGCGAAATGGATGTTTTCTATCAACTGTTGCAAAGGTCATCACCCTTTCCATCTAGAGTTGTGACAACTATTGTTTGTATGATAATAATGAGTTACTGCTTCCTGTCAAACTATATACAATAACTACCGAATAATCTGTCTCTGATTATGATTACCTACTTATTTAATAAACACATCGTAACGTCGTCTCATCTAAAATTACCATTACTTAGGATTTGGAATGAAATTTATTTTTATAATTTTAAAGATTCCGGTTGGATTTTGAAATTCTTAGGACTTTACATGTTTTGAATAAAATAGGGTATATAAGATTTATGTATAGAAAACTTGCATAAAATAAAAATCATCTCATGTAGAAAAAAATGCATTTTTTTAAATCAAGCGTCAAACTGGGTTTTTGTGTATATTGCACAAGTAAAACGGACACCTCGACCTGTGACAATAATAGGCTTTTTCTGATGAGAGATTAACAATGACAAAACTACACTATGTATCTAAATTATAAAGTTGCCCCTACTTTTTGATCTCTTTTTGTAGTGAAACCCCTATTTTCCATATTATTTGTTTGTTTATTTAGCCGAGGCAATTATGCAGCACTTATTACAATATCCACAAAAGTTCGAGAGTAATTCATTAAAAGAAAATCCACTCTTGTCTCTATCTCATTGCTGGACGCAATAAGGTAGACAGGGATAGGGCGACCACACACGAAGTGCAGCAACATACACGGACCGCTCTAGCAGTCAACAGCTTGAAGCTGACATTGATACCTGCTCGATTAGTTAGGTTAACTGCTCTAGCATTTAGCAATTTTAATGTTAATTCAAATTAAAAAAAAAAGCGTGCGCGATGGTTAATACAGTCAGTGCCTGCCTGGCCATTACTTAAACGCTAATGACGAACTTTCACCGTGCTGCCAACCATCCGAGACAGTTCAAATTGACTGCTTCAAGCAGCCCGTGTATAGCGGGCCATAGTCTTTGCCTTCAGTTTCCATTTGACCAAGGTTTGAATGTGTGATTGCAGGAGACGAGGAGAGCGTGGTGTCCCGCGGCGGTGATCCGGCCGTGTTGGCGGTGGGGCCGGCGCGTCGTCCCCTCACCTACACCAGGGAAGAGTTGTTGCGGCTGAGAAACTCGCCGCTGGTCAAGCGGAACCTGGAGAACGCGTTTGCCGGCTGCGAGGCGCTTGCACTGTGAGTACTGTACACGAATAATGGTTAAGTTGGATCATCCACGGGTTCATGTAGTTAGAATGCTCAAATTGGAAGCAGAAGAAGACCAAGACACCTTGCTATTACACAATGGTAATGAACGTTTGCTGCTGAAAGGTGATTACAGGAGTTGGGATTTTTATGCCGTTTCATTTATATGTCAGGCTTGTACGGCTTTTGATTTAAAGAAATTAAAACAGATGCATTTTTTTTTTTTATTTTATCTGCGTGAAACGAATTTCAACATTTCGCACTATGTGAGCAGTACCGAGACGAATATTAATGAACGACTACAAGAGGAATTATTTTAAATCTAGGGAATTTAAATAGGGAACCACAAATTTGGGACCTGGGCCGATTTACATTTTTGAACAAAACAAGGTCGTTCTTTACTTTATTCTATACTATTATCATTTAACTTTTGTCCAACTATATATTGTCCACTGCTACTTTTCATGCTACTTATTTTATTACTTATATTACAATATTTTTTCACTCGAAGAAGAGAAGAAGACTTTTTGTCTTAAATTAATATCGTTGTTGCAGAGTGTTGAAGAGAAGATCCGATTCGCCTAATGAGGATGATAAAGGAGGAAGAGGTGACGCCCCGAACGAGAACCATAAGGTGATCTTACATAATAAATAAATAAATATTAGATAAAAAAAAATTAATCCGATCATTGTATGCGACATTGATCGGATTCAAAATAAATGTACGTATGAGTACTGTTGTGTAAATATAACCTCTTTGTGTATGGGGTGGTTAGGGAGTGTACGGGCGCGACCGTGAGCGTCGGTCGGCGGACCCGCGCGAGCGCGTACGTAAGGAGGTGTCGCCGGGGAGCGGGGGCGGTGGCGGCGTCGCGGGGGGCACGGGCATCGTGCTCTCGCCGCAGCGGCGCTCGTTCACGTCCGGATGTGGCGCGCCTGCCGCCGCAGCGCCGCAGCCGCCGCCGCATGTCGCACGCACCAGGCCTGAGTCCCCACTGCAGCCGGCCGCCGCCTCCAAACCCGACCAGGGTATGTGGCTTGATTATTAATTCATTTATAACGGACTCATAAGTGGTCCTTCAGTGCTAAATCGAAACGTGGATTCAGTACTGGAAGTCGGGATGTAGGTTTTGTGAAGTTTATTATTATATTAACCATTTGACTTTGTTATAAGTTACATGATTAATAGCTTTTTTGAAGTCTATTATTTTTTAAATGATATATACTGAACTAAATAATAATAAAACAGCCATTACGATCTGATATCTTAAATTTGTAAGAAAGTGGACAAACATAGTAACATACACTTGGCACACATAATTAGAGATATGTATACAATATTCCTATAAGGATATAGCAAAATGCCAGAACAGGTAAAGTTGTCCTTTTTGAAGTCTCTTAATATGTCTAGTCTAAATTAACATTAAATTGTGCAATTCAGATATGGTCCGATTTGTAAGTTGTAACACTGAGAAATGTGCTATTAATAACACTTTTCTTTCATTATTGGTCCTATATAAACCTAGCACTAACAGGTGGTGTATGTTTCAAGACTCAACATGCATTGTATTCAGTTGCCTACATTTATTTTATATAAAACTGTTTTCTAAACCTTCGAAAGAGGTTATAATGATGCTCTTTCTGTTGTACAGTCAATAAAAAAATTATCTCCCATCTCCCCATCCATCACTGAGTGCCAGGGACAAGGCGGAGTTTTAAGCATTTTTCATTAAGAATATTTTTCGCTATAGCATTGTTAATTCAAATTAGATTAATTTTAATTGTTAATAGATCAAAAATTTATTAATTACTTATCTTTAATCCTTTTTTTTTTAAAGAAAATTCGTCAGTATTGTATAACTCGCATGCTTTTACTGTAATAATTTCAATCTCAGTTACTCGTTTTTCTTTCTCGCGTTACGTCCTCGTCGCATATCAATTGAGCGAGTGATGTTATGGTGATATGTAATTATCGTGTACAGGTCGGCGTATCGGCTCTGGACGTATCATGGTGCGGGACATGCCCAACGCTGGGTGGGAGGAGCCCGAGTACCGCTCGGAACCCTACCGTCCGCCGCGGGACCGCGCCAACGGAGACAGGTCAGATATTTTATATGCAGAATTGTATATTGATGTTTGTCTTATGCAAAAAGTTTTTTCTCCAAGATAAAATATTAATTTTACCCATATTCAGGTGCAAAGTTATTTAGCTAAATTTCTTGTATAATGGAAATCTAAAAAAAAACTAAGATATCACAACAGCCAGACCCAAGACAAAATAGAAAAGTTCATTTTCTACATTGAAACGACCGGGAATCGATGGAAAGCTTACAGATGGCGACACCTTGAAACTGTCGTGCGAACTACGACCCACTTTGCTACGGAGGTCGACAATGTTCAAATTTCCTTCTATTAGTAAAACCCCGCTGTCAATCTGTTTGTCACCAAGCTATATCGCATGAACTGTGATAGCTATACAGTTTCAAGAGAAGGCAAATTGATTTCTTATATTTTCACTATTCATTAAATGAAATAATTTTAAATTGTTTCAGCGCGTTTGTATCTGCTTTCATGGCAGTTCGGTTAGTCTTAAGTGAACACGGAACCTGTAAAGGATCCGAAACGTTGTGCAAGCAATTACAACGGCAAAATTGCCCCAGACATCACAAGTTACTGCCATCAGACTGACACGCAGTCTTTGCACAGTTGACGCCAAGTGTTTAATCCAGGAGCTTGGTGTAAAAGTGAAACAACGAAGTTATCACAACACCCAGCCGCAAGACAATATTGAAAAGCTCATTTTTTACGCCAAGTCGGGATGTCAGAGATGGTGTCTCCCTGAAACAGCTGTATGTACCTATTTATAAATACCAACGTATGTTTATTATTACAGGTTCGATCGACGTTCCTTCAGTCGCGACTCCTACACCTCTGATATGAAGAGGGAGCGGGACGACCGATTCAACAACGAAAAAACGCGCGACAGGTAATACACAAAACGCTAATGTTTTATTATATAAGGTTTTTTTGAACGTGCTACAAATTTTCGCGACCATATCGTATAACATGCCATATTATAAGTGGACGCGTCCAATTACAAAATGTCGCTGTTTTGTAATGTTTACGTTAAACCAAAACTTACGTCGCAATCTTGTCTAATTAACACCTACGTGACGTAATTTGGAAATAGAAAGTACAGATAGCATAAAAATTGAAAAATATTAATGCATTATTCCCGAAATATATAATAATAGTTTTATTACACCTTAGTTTGTTAATTTTTTTGTAAAAGCGTATTTTTATGATAATATTGATGTATATAAAAGAAAACAAAAAATACATTGTAACAACGCGAAAATCAGAGGACAATATTTTAAGTAGTGATGATATCTGTTCTGTGATATCATGGTCTATATCTATTGCGGTCCTTGGTCGAGCGAGCTGATCAGATAGCCGCAATAGGGTGTAGGCTCAAATAATGCAACGTTGTTTCTTAAAAAAAAAATACATTTATTGCCCAATTAACTTTGTGTGGCTGCCTTACGCCTCGGTTGTGATAAGGTAAAGAAGGAACACTGGCCTGAACTCCTCGTCATCTTATGTTATCCTTTAGATTATCCACTCTGTCAGATTCTTGCTTCTGGTTTCACAAAAAAAAGCGTTTTTATACTGGTATAGTAGTTCAGGTTTTTTTTTAAATATAGCTGCACGCTTTTTAATTCTTATATTCTCAAAAATATGACGTTACACTATCTAACATGTGTACGTCTGGGATCCCGTCAAGGGGTCCTGCCTTTTGAAGTAGCCAAAGAGATTCAAAACAATTTTTATATTAGAATTGGGTTGTTTACAATGTTTAACGTAAAAAATTATTATCTAGGGAGGAGAATCGAAGATCATCAGGTGGTCGTAACTATCGACGTTACGATAAGGACGAGGAACCCGAATGGTAAGTATTACTTGGTGTTAGAAAAAAATATTAAATAAAAAGTGGCTGTTGCATTTTCTTTGCGTTAGCAATAACTAATTGGTCTGCCTACCATTGATTTGTCAGCCGAACAGATTATTCAGAGATTCATTTTGACAGATCAATACATGCTTAGTTACGCGGTAGAGGTATTTCCTTTTTTGTTTATTATTTTATTAATATCATGATGCCATTAACAGTACTGTTCCACGAACTGAACTAAATATAGTTTTGATCTTGTCGAACTAGATTTTCAATTTAAAAAAAATCATTTATGTAAATATTATTATTAGTATATGGGAGTATGATTTAATTTTTTTAATTACATGTGATTACAGAATAATGTTTAAGGGAATTAACATTTTTTATTACTTTGGTTAATGGTCCAACAGAATTAGCGTCTAGCATGCAAGCAAAATAAATTAATTGTATATTTAGGTTTAGCGGAGGGCCGACATCACAGCTGGAGACTATCGAGTTACGCGGCTTTGACGAGCCACCCACCCACAGCAAGAAAAACGGCAATGTTAACAACAAGGAGGAGGTAATTAAAACATAACCAATACGTTAATATTTTAATTAGATTTCATCGCTGTTTTTCCTATTAAAAAGCAGTCATTGTATTCGTAATTTCATTTAAGGCAAAGAGATGTTTTTTTTGGTACAGCTTAGTCTTCCTTATTTTTTAATCTTCCGTTTTTAGTAAAACATTTAGTTTTTGACATTTTAATGCTTGGAGTATTTGAGCCAATCTAATAATGTATGAATACAGAGAAGTTAATTAAATTAATTAAATAGGTGTTTTATCAGTTTCTGCTATAAGCATCGCTTCAAAAGCAGTCTGATTGCACTTTGCACGTCTTTTTTCTTTAAAGACATCAAAGGAACGTTGTGGTTGCAACTAGACTGTTGGTGGCAACTTTAGCAGATGACAAAATAATATTGGCGAAAATTTTTATTTATTTTGTGTGACTGCTGAAAAATTGTTTAACAAAAGCAAATTATTTATATATTTTTTTTTCAAAAATATAATAAAATCTCTAGTAGCGAACAAATATTTTGTTTGTACGCGACTGAAGTATCGTCTATTTTCAGTGTCTTAATGTAAGAAATGCTAATTTATTATGATGTATGTGTGCAGAAGAAGTGGCACAGCGGCAACAGTGGCGGCTCGCGGTCCCCCAACACCTCGCCGCAACACGACGACGCCACCACCGCCCCCGCCACCAACACCTCCAACACCAGCAACACCACCATCACCACCGCAACCACTACCACCAACGTCAGTACCATTCTACTATAAGTCTATAGTCAGTATTCTTTCTGTTTGCTAAACAGAAAGAATTGGCTACTTGACAGTTATAACAATTAATTATGAAATATCTTGAAAATGGAAACTTATATGTAAACAAAACAACAACAACGCAGAACTTGCAATTTATAGTCTGTGGATTTCGAGGGCGTGAAGTGGGCCGTCGTGATGAGGCTTCGTATGGCATCACATTACAATTACGACGTAGAAAAAGAAAGAAATAGGCACTAATATTGAAATATTGTAATGCGAGGCCACGTGACTGATTGTTTTCGCGGGCATTTCAAATTGACTAATAAAAACATGTTCTTTTCTTTATTTAATTACATCTGATAGTGGTTTAATATGATCATATGAACAATTTCTATTAATACTTTTTCCAAAATAGTCAAATAGCCAATTTCGTATGTTGCCCTTTGTGCCTACTACTAGATGTTGTAAACATTTACAGTGTTATTATTAACTAGATTTCCGACAGCGGCTTCGCCTGCGTGGTCTTGTATTATACATAAAAACCTTCCTTTTGAATCATCCTTTCTATAAAATAAAAACTCATCCGTTGCGTAGTTTTAAAGATTTAAGCATACATAGGGATATAGGGACAGAGAAATTGACTTTGTATTATGTAGTGATAGTGATAGTTTTATACTATGTAGTGATAGTGATAAACAAGGTTTAGCGTTGGAGTAAATTTACGCTAAGTGTAGACTTAGTATTAGTGAAAATTCATATTATTAAACAGAGACTTAAAAAAGGTTAATCTAGTACGAAGTTCTACGGGAGTAATATTTACTCCTAGAAGGTAGTGGGTTTACTTATTCTCTGTATAATATGAATTTGGACTAATACTAAACTTGCAATTTTAGCGTAAATTTATTCTGAAGCTAAACATTGTTTATTAATAGCACTGTTTCGGTTTACTTACTATGACAAAATTGGCGACGTATTTATAGACAAGACATAATTTTTTTTTCGATTTTAGAAGCTTAAAAAAAGGAGACGTAAAGGTTACTATGACTTGTATTTACAAACAGAATATTAAAACTTGTTCTGTGTTGTTTATAGGATAAAGACTCTGGAGTGGAGTCTGGGAAGGCAGAGGAGGGCAACCCTACTGCGGAACAGCCCGACTTCAATCTGGACGAGTTCCTCAAGTTTGATGCTATACCAGATGTACTCACGGTCAGTAATGTGTCACGATTCAAATACTTTTGATATTTATTACTCAGGTCGGTGACGTAATGGTTAAGCGCTGCGGCCCGTGATCGTTGTTTTTAAGCAACTTTGCAAGGGTGGCACAGGATGGGTGACCAAAAAATTATTATCCCGACCTACTCCGTGCTCCGGTAGGCAAGTTAAACCATTGATCTAGGCTGCAATTACAGTCGTTAATATCCTCCTATCCGCATTGACCCAGCGTGGAGGGTCATGGCTCATCCTCCTTGACCGTCCATAAGGTAGATCTGGGCTCCTGTAGTGAGACGTAAAAGGGCTGATGATAATGATAATTTAGGGTACCTGTCATATTTTATGGAGACGTTTACATTTAATAAATTAAATTACTTTTTAAAAATACATTTAGCTTATTTACAGCCAGTTGCACAAACATCTATTAAAATTGTCATTAGTTTAAAGCGACATTGTGCATACAAATTTGACATTCAGTAGACCTTAAAGGCGTCATTAAACCTTAATAGACGTTTGTGCAACTGACCATCAGTTTATTGTTCATTTATTTACACCTGGCTACCGTAAATTACCACCAGTTCCAAATTTGGGAGTCTTGTGCGAGCGAAACAAACTCTGACAAGAAACGTGAATTGCCCCCTTTGATTTAATTTTTACAGCTCTAACTAATTATATCTTTTGCAGTGTGTGATACTAGATTGGATTTTATTTTGATTCTGTCAAACTATGTTTTGTATTCTATTAAAATAGTTATAATTAATTCATAATGAGTTTGTAATGGATTTTCTTTTTTATATATTATAAAGAACGGCGGCGGTGAAAGTGAGGGCGGCAGCAGGTTCAGTCGATGGTTCCGTCGCGAAACGCCGCCCGCGGACGCGAGACATTACGACAGGATGCTGAGCAACATGCTAGACGGTAATATACTTAGTCTGGCCATAAATACTATTACAATTAAAAAAAAAAAAAAATATTACTTTTGAATTTCGAATCTGTCCTTTTTATATGATTGTTCATTATCTTTTCTTAGGGTATGTTCCGATATACACTGCGACCACTGAACAGTATGACGTCAATTTAGTATACTGGAAGCCCGTTTCTTTATAGCTAGTTATATTGGTGACTTTTTAAAACGGAACGCAGTCCAGTATACTGTTAATCCTATTTTTTGGCGCCATTTTCAAATTTGTTAATGCAAGGTGAATATAAATATAAAGATTCCCTCTTTTCAAAAGAAAATTGGAAAATTGTATAAAAAATTATTTATCAATTAAATCCATCTTATAAATAAACGTAAGTATTTTTTTTTTTGTTTATTTAGAAACTTATCATTTTCTGATTCTGTTTCGACTGATCACGTGATCAAAAGCACTGCGAGCACCTTACCTCGAAATCTCCAGTGCTCACAGTACAAATATGGCGGCAATTTATGACGTCATAAATTTCCCTAGGGTACTGTAGCAGTGTACTGGCAGTCCATAACGGAACGGATTTTTCAGCAGTAAGACCACTGCGCAGTGCTCGCAGTGTATATCGGAACATACCCTTATTTTTGCGCCCATACTCTAACAAAATGATACAATGTTGTGTATTATTGCATGTTAGATCTGGACAGTGTGTCTGAAGTGGGTGGGGAGTCTAGTAAAGTGTTCGCGCCGATATCGCCGGCGGCGCCGCCTTCACTCCTCGACTTGTTGCGACAGGCTAATGCCCAGCCGCCGACGCAACAATCAGGTCAGGATATACATTTATTTACTTTATTTTACTACACTGATTCATAACCTATCGCTAGCCTTTAAGCATTTCGCCCGCGGCTTACTCAAAAAATCCTGATTGATCTTGGTCGAAAAATGAGCGAGATCTCGCGAGTTTAACGAGATTGCACTTGAGCATAAAAATGATTTATTCTAAGTACGGCAGCGTGAATTTATGCGAGTCCTAGGAATTAAAAGGCGAAGTTTTACACTTTTTCAGTACTTGTGTTTTCGAAAGGTCTTCTCAGTGGATGGTTCTCTGGCCAGCACGACAATAAGACGAATAGCAAAGATTCTTTGGACATTATGTGCTTCTCAAGAAACTACTTTCAAAATTATTCGTAATAATGACGCGTGATGTGAATCGAATAAGTCTTTAAATTGATTGGTTGGTATATTTTGTTAATTCATTCTCTAATTTCTAATAGAGCTCTGGGTACACATAGATTTCTTTCATTGATTATAATCTCAGTTTAATAGTAAATTCAATTTAGGTAATGAGTTTAATTTTAGTGTTTGTATTTTTGTTATTAAAAACTATTACCATTATGACGGCATTATGACACGCGAACTTTTTGAAAGAGTGAAGTATTTTTTTTTTAATTTCATACCGCACTAGGGCCGTTCTATCTACATTATTATCCTAGAGCGCTCATGGGTCACCTACAATCCCAATTTGGGGGTAATAAGGATCTACTTATGGAACATGAGTGATGTAAACGAGTGTTATTGATGCATATGTGCAGGCGGGAGTGGGGGCGGGGGTGTTGGCGGGGGCGGTAAGATGCAGAGCTTGGAGGAATTGGAGGCGCGCCTGCGTGTGCACGCCGCCCCGCACCACCAGCACCACCAGCCCCACCAGCACCAGACCGAACACGATCTCGCCGCCTTCAAAAGACTCGTGAGTTACACCACACATGCATAGCGATTCCGCAAAAATCCGAATGTGTCGGAATTCACTTCGAAAGCGAATTCGCTCAACTTGTATTAGTGTAGAAATTGTATCGATTCCATTTTTTTTGGTATAAAAATACAAAACAAGATTATTTGAATTATATGTGGTCGCAGATATTCTATTGCTATGTAATTTTGAATGTCACGAAATGTTAATACTAATTCAAGGTTAAGCGGAGGTAGCTTTTGAAGTGAATCTGGATGAATGATTACACTCAGGTGGAGCGTATTTGAATTCGAGTTCGGATTTTATGGAATTGCTCTGCTGCGCCCAAATAAACGATTGATAAGATATTTTCATGAGAAACTTAACTGTCTTAGACGTTTTGTGCAGTTGCAACTGAATCGAAAGCTTCTTCGTCAAATAAAAAAAGAAAAAAAAAGTTAAGAAAGTTGTAAAAGACAGAATTATATATTCAGAGAGATAAATTGCCGCAATCTTCGGATGGATCCGAAATGGCGCACGAAACCTATTGGGTCATACCATGATGATTGTCAGGACATTTTTTATGTTCCTCAACTTATTTTTAGTTACATTAAATAGTACACAACAGATATAAACATTGATGAAAAATAAGTGTTAAAAATTGTGACGGTCGGGACTATTACGTTTTACTGAACTCCAGAGTCACATCCATTTTTGGGAGTTGGTAAGAAACAATCAATTTTATTAGTGCAAATAATTATGTGTCTATACTGTAAGGTTCAACTTTCTATAGGGTTCTTTCGACAAAGATTAAATCTTATGTGGTGTCACTTACCGTGGAATGACCCTATCGCATATACTATAATAAATAAATATTTTCTCTTTCACATATTTTGAATATAATTTCAAATGTTATAAATAAAGTTCAAAATTGTGTGTAGAATAAACATAACGATAGATTTTATATTGGAAATAATGATACATAGTATTGTGATGGGTACAGTTGGCGCAAGTGTCTGGCGGCCACGCGGTACCGGCAGCGGAGCAGCCGCGCCCACCGCCACAACCACAGCCTATGAGTCTACTGCAAGTACGTACTACTATATAATAATATTTATTGAAAATAAAAAAAATACTGAATTAAATATATTTATGTTACTTCGTTTGTGGTTATGTTCGACATATTTCTGACGATAGGGTTGTGTCCTACAAGAAAATACAGGTTTCCCTTATATGTTCGGAAAATATGAACCATTTTAACGTAGAAATATTTAACGAAATAAAGTTTATTATACTAATTTGAAAAATATTACGCTCTGAAAACTATAAAAAAATAAGTTTCGAGCCGCTGTTCGTAAACAGCTTTTTACTGTTCGTTTAAAATCGCGAAAAATCACAAGGGGGAGGTGGATGTAGTATAATATCACGTGTATTTATTTTTTCGTATCCATGCGATTAAGAAAAATATTATTAATATTATTATCGAAAAGTGGTGTCAAAAATAATAATCATGTATATTGTAGGTACAAAATAATACACGTGATTCGAGTGGAAGGGGGGGGGGGGGGGGCGGTAGTCTTAAACTTCACCATGTATCACGAACGGGAAGGGAGGGTAAAAAGTGCTGAAAAAAAATATCGCATGATTAATGGACGGCCCCCTTAGGTCCAGATAAAAAACTGAAACTAAAGTGAACATTTTTAATTTTGAATATTAACTTGCAGATGTTGAACAAGAGCATGGAACAACAACAACAGCAACAGCAGCAGCAGCAGCAACAACAACAACAACAACAGAAACAACAGCCACAGCAGACGCAAATCCCGCAGGAGCTCCTTTACAAGCTCCTGCACTTGCAGGTGACAAAAGGATATTCCGTACTGATATTATAATATCTAGATATTTAAAATAATTACTAGAAGAGTGAAGATTTTCTTTAATTAGTTATTATTTACTCTTTAAGTAATAGCAAAGTAGGGACGTTTACCTTGTCCTTGTCGCTCTCACGATATAAGTGGATATCTCTAGATTAAAAGTAATCGAAAACAAAAATAAACCTTTTAAAAAGAAGTGCGGTATACTGTTAATTAAATAGTGAGAATAGGCCTTAACTCAGTGCGGATTAGTAGTCTCAGTAATGTACTGTGAACGTACAGCGTCAGCAGCAACAGCAGCAGGGTGAGATGGGTGTGCACGCGTCCGACAGGGAGCTGCTGCAGCGACCTGAAGCGCAGGCGCTTGTACATGGTGAGTTAATAAAACATTTTGATTAGGTCACTTTAAAATCAGTTTATAATTTTATTAGTATCGTTAATGCAACTTATTTATAAAGATTTATTTTAATATTCAGTAAAAGAACCCTTGCAATCAAGAGCTAATTTTGAGTGAATTTAAGTGTTAATTCCCTTTTAAGATAGATAAAAATACGCCTTATGAGTTATTACTCACTCTACAAATTTCATTGTTACCGTAAAGCATAAAAATCTTTATTTTTAATGTTTATGGTACTAGTACTACTTCGGTTTTATTTTATACGCAAGTAAATTTTACCTTTTTTAAATGACATAATTTCGATAAAATAACAAAAATGATTTCCATTTTTTATGGTATGTTAATCCTCAGTTTTGAATGATTATTTTTCACTAGTTAAGTTATATTTTCGTCGACTAGGTCTGAAAGCTGGCGAGATAACAGTGCAGCACTTGATGCAGCAGCTCAGCAACCCCGGGCTGCAGAGCCGACACCGAGAGGTGCTGCTCACTATACTGCGACTGCATCACCACCAGAGACAGGTTACACATACACTATACCACTAATGACTGGTTTACACGTAATTAAGTATACTTATGTATAGATTCTAATTTTTAATTCAAGTATACATATAATTAATTCATAAATAGTTGCTTAAATTTTTGATTAAGGGGTAGAAAGTATGCTTTATGTTTTAATAAGTTGAATGAGTAATTTATCATTATTTATCAATAAAAAAAAATCATAGACTAAAAGTGTACAAATGGTCCCAATCTTCCCCTAGTTATTTGTATGTTTGCACATATATAATCCCTTAAAATTAAGTTAAAATCACTTATTATTTGTCTACATGTAAACAGCAATAATACACATAGACAACCCCGGTTAAACCACTAACTAATGTTTATTTATATCTTGCAGGCATTCACATTCATGTCTATAATTGAGTAGAAGTAATTACTTGAGTAAAAGTAATAACTTAAGTAAATATTTTAACTAATAGAATGTCAATACCTAGTTAATAATGATAGTATCTAACTTTTGAGAGTTCGTACTTCATTAAAATTCTTATTTATTTGTCAAAAATATTTGATTATGTATGTTATTTATTACTTTCGACTCAAGTAATTACTTCTACTCTTCTATAGATACGAGTGTGAGGGTGAAAGATGCTAAATGTGACAGTAATTAACTTGTGATTTTTATTTTGTATGTTAGATGGGAGGATCTCCTCTGCCGAGTGGAGTGGGGGGCCCGCATCTAGTAGTTCCACATCATCAGCCCCTGAGATTGTCTCCGTTACCTCATCCTGGTGAGTTCTATTTTCTATAACCTGTTATCTGTCACACTATACTGTATTGTATGTAGTTATACATAGCTTGATGTATAACAGTAAGAATCCGTTGTTGATTTTATTATCAGTTCCTTCCTGACAGATATCCAATTAGACAAACGTCCATTAAATTTGTCATTAGTTTAAAGCGACCATTACCCATACAAATTTGACATTCATTAGTGTTTAAAGACGTCATTAAAACTTATTGGACGTTTGGCTACTGACCCTATAATACTCAAGGTATACAAATTGTTAAACGTGACTAACGATTGGTGTCAAATGTTTGCATGACCAACTTTCTGCAAATAATAACATCTATACTATAATAAATTGTCATGACAAAGACTGGTCAGAAACGGGGGGCACTCAATAGTAAGAATATTTTTTTACTTTAGAATTGTTTTGAAAATTAGAGGAGTCATCCCACTATAATTTCATAAACTTATATAATTATGTGTATTGTGTATTTACTATCATCTTCGGCTACTAACATTAACATTGTACAATGGACGCAGCGTTCTGCGTGTCTCCCATCATGGCCACGAGCCCTAATACTCTAGCAGTACACCATCCAGGTACAGTATACATACAGCGATATTGTATACTAGTGGTTTCTCGTGGCGTTACCCATATGTTCGAAGGGTAATAAGGGCCGGTGCCGATCTGACGGGACGGAATTTCGGTCGAATGTGCAAGATCGTATATCATAATCATAAAATTTGTCAGTTTAGAATTTCTGCTACCGATGGGACGCGTCGTATCTTCCGTCGGATATGCACCGACCCTAAGAATGTTTTTTTTTAACTGATGTCTTGGGGTTATCCATTAATTACGTCATATGAATTTCATACCCCCAATATACCAAAATAGTCAAATCAGTTCACACAATCCGTAGTTTAACAGTATTATTAATAAACAAGGTTAAGCGTTGGAATCTGAAACATACAGGAACATAAAAATAAAATATGTAAATCCGCCAAAATTGACTGGATAAATAAAGATATAATAAATTCAATTAACTTCCGAAACAAATTAAGGGAACAAACCAAAGCTAATCCAGAGGATAATGTTTTAAAAAGTAAATTTCTAACTGAACAGGTCAAAGTTAAAACCATGATAAAAACTTATTATAAATTATTTTCAGACCATCATGACAACCCTAAAAAAAATTGGGAAGTAATAAATAGTTTAGCTCAAAATAAAGCAATAATTAACCCTTAAATTGATAGCGTACTACACAGAGTACACTGAATTCGTAAAAATCTACAGCTTAATTTATTCGAACTATTTTAAAATTTATTAATTTATTAGCTTCTAAAAACTATAAATTTTGGTAGAAAGTAATTTATACTGTAGCAACATTTACGACCAACTGTCAAAATCAAAATGATTTCGAAGCGGCCGGGTGTGTCTGTGAAGCGGGTAAGTTATTTTCGTATTTTTTTATGTTTTTGTATGGAAACTGTGGTTATTCTGCTTTACATTGCATGGGAATAGTATAAATATATTCTAACTTCAGTTTTAGATGTTTATATTACATACATTTGACCTTATGGGCTTGTGCGCGTGAACGTACTACGTGAATGCCGTTGCCAAATAAGGTGTAAAGAATACTAAATTGACTATGGTATACACGAAGTACATTGCCAAGTACCTATACAAATGTTTTTCCTTTTTTCATACTGCGTTCCAGCTACTGGGTGTGGTTTTTTTGTTTATATGGCATGCCCTTTTTTTCTTTGCCTGCAGTGCTTGACTTTAACACGATCGCACAAGATTCTGGCTTTGGTTCCTGTGGAAAATGCTTGTTCAGAAGATAGTTCCAGTTCCGACGATGAGGCAAATCATATTACATTACCACTCTCAAACGTTAGTTCTGATCCACCTTCATTAGACTCCTCATTCGAACGACTAAATATTTTAGCTGACGATTCTGATAACGCATCTAATCATAACCTCGAACACATACCGTTAACACCTACATTTCAAGAGATCTTTCCATCCCCTTCAGTGGATAATTACAACGCCATCCCCACATTAGATTCTATTCAATCCCTGCCTTCACCATCAGTAGAAGTTCTTGAATCCCCGATTCCCAGCACATCAAAAGCCACGTTACACACACCATCACTAGAAGCCCTTCAGTCACCGGTACCCAGCACGACGACAGCCACTAATATACCAATCACTAGATCTAAACGCAAAAAAACATCTGTTACAGCAAAAACAGTAAAAAAGCCTAAGCTTGCACTAAATTTCAACTGGAAGAAAACTTCTTTGCGTTGCAGAGCATTTATAGACGACAACGTGCACGAACTCCATAAATCGCCATATGATACAGTATTAGATTACTTTTACTCGTTTTTTTCATCCGAAATTATCGAAGATATCGTTCACAATACTAATTTGTACTCGGTTCAACAATATGGTAAATCAATCCAGTTAAATACCAATGAACTTAAGAGTTTTCTCGCAATCAAAATCCTGATGGGTATAATTCGAATGCCAGCATACACTGATTATTGGGCCAGAAGAACTAGATATTCACTAATAGCGAACGAAATGTCTCTTAAGCGTTATCAACAAATACTTCGAAATATTCACTTTGTCGACAACACCTTAGAGAACTCGGACCGATATTTCAAAATTCGTCCAGTTATGGAAAAGATTCGACAAAATTTTTTGAAAATTGAAGAAGAAGGTCAGTATTCCATAGATGAGATGATGATCCCATACAAGGGCACGAAAGCCGGTAAAAGAAGGCAATATATCAAGAACAAACCCAAGAAATGGGGTTACAAAAATTTTGTACGAACTGGCATTTCAGGTCTGATCTATGACTTTATGATGTACGGTGGTGAAGACACATTTCGTGAACAAACCTTCACGTCACAAGAGGCATCACTTGGTGTTGGGGGTATGGTAGTGATAACTTTATGTAAAACAATAAAACAAAAGCCATCTATCATATATGCTGACAATTTCTTTACTTCTCCCGAACTGGTTTATTTGTTGCGAGAAGAGTATGGGGTGTTTAGCCTTGGCACTTTAAGGGCAAACCGACTAAGAGGTTGTGAACAGCTTCTACCTTCAGATAAGGAAATGAAAAAGAAGAAAAGAGGCTACAGCTCTCAAGTAGTATGCAATCGTAACAAATTAGCAGTTGTTAAGTGGAACGATAACAAGGTGGTAACGTTAATAAGTTCCTTTATGGATTCGTATCCCATAGACAAGATCAGAAGATATACAAAGGATGCGAAGGCCAAAATAGATATCGACTGCCCTCAGTTGGTTCGCGCTTATAACAAACACATGGGTGGTGTCGACCTTGCCGATATGCTGATCTCTCTGTATCGCACACCATTTAAAAGCCGAAGATGGTATCTACGTATATTTGCGCAACTACTAGATATGTGCATCAGTAACGCATGGCTTTTATATAGGCGAGATACTAAAGCTAAGAAATCTCTCAAAGAGTTTCGCCTAGAGTTGTTTGAGGGATTGTGTCGAGCAGGCAAAAGCACTAACTTCATAGGTGTAGAAAAGATTGATGATCACAAAAAAATTCAGAAACCAGCTGTTCAAAGACCTGCTGATTGTGTCCGGTATGATGCAGTTGGACATTTTCCTGAGTCTCGTAACAAGCAGTCGCGGTGTAGATTCTGTAAAGTTGGCAGAACCAAAGTGTTTTGCATAAAATGCAATATGCACTTGTGTTTTGTTGTCGGAGAAAATAATAAAAGGAACTGCTTTCTTCATTTTCACACAAAATAATTATAATAAATTAAAATAAAGAATTTATTCACAAATATGGTTTATTTTATTCTTGGCGACGTACTCCACCTAGTATATTTATAGGAACATATAGCTTTCATACTAGTTGGCAACGTAATTCGTGAAGTACACTGTTTTTCGCAAAAACTGAAAATGATGGATTTTTTTAAATATTTTTTTTATGCTTTTTAGGTCACAATAAATCAGATATATCACTTAATTAAGCATAATTTGGAAAAAAAAGATCTTGCCAATTTAAGGGTTAATACAATACCTCCAAAATTAGTGTCCAACATGGGGATCATTACAGAAGGCAATGTTATATGTAATATTTTTTATGAGAATTGGCTGGTAATATACCTCAACATTATCAGCATATAAAACAAGAAAACTATTTTTTTTTGGGCGTTCAACATTACATTAAACTACCTAACAACATAAAAGAATGCATTCATATAAACTCATTCAAATCTCAATTAAGACATGTTGTGTGCACATTATAACGCTTATAATGCTTTATTATTATTTTATACCGACAAACGTCAGAGAGAAGTGTTGCCTTTAGTAATATTATGAATCTCATTGTAAATGAACATAATTATGTTTGTATGGGAATAAATGTCTTAAAACCTAAACCTACGTATGAAAAAAACTCGATTTACGTCGTTCCGTTTAACATCGCGTATTTCGAGACTTCATCATCACCAGCCTACTAATGTCCTCACTGCTGGGGTTCAGGCTGTCCTTATGGATGGAATCAAATCCAATCAAATAGGTAGAATGAACTGTGACGCACCATGGGCCCAGTATTGGTGGGTATTAATGACTGCAGATGCGGCCGGGACCAATGGTTTAGCGCGCCTTTCGAAGCACGGAGATAATAAATTCTTGGTCACCCATTCTAAGACTGAACATTGCGAAATTTGCTTAACAACCGTATCGACGAACGAGTGCGCTACATTGATCTCTTGATTCGATTTATAATCGGACATGCCGTAAGTAGGAGGACTGCCTGTATATAGTCTATTTATTTATTTAAGGACAGCTTACGTGACAATACACTGATAATAGCATTATTACAATAATAAAATAGCATGCAAATAAGTGTTGCCTCAATTACAAGCTGCCACGGCATGTACAGTTACACAGGAGGAAATACGTGAGAGATCTTTAATAAGATTATACTTAGTTATTCTATCATTATGATAACAATTACTTATCTGTTATAGCAGCAATCATGTTAGATTTAAACAAGTTAAATTTGGAAAAAATATCTAATTCGTTATTTCTTTTCGCAGTGACATTATATTGATTCTGGCTTTTATTTAATGCCGAATAGTGTCCTAGATTCCTCTTAAAAGATTTAGGAGAAAACAATTTTAAAATGCGAGGGTCTAACATGCTTACGTGGAATATTAAAATTAATTTGTTGTAAAAGAGCTGAGCAATCCAATGCACCGTTAACAATTTTATATAGAAATAACTGATCCAATAATCGTCTTCGGTCTTGTAGACTATATACATTAAAATATGATAATCGTTCTTTATAGGAAGGTAACTCTTTAGCCATATTATGTTGAAAAGACAAATACTTCGTAACGAGGAGACCATACCACACTACCGTATTCCAAGGAAGATCTAATTAATGCGTTAAATATAAGAATCTTGTTATTAGGAAGCTTAAAGTCTTTTGTATTTCTTATGACGAATCCAAGTATTTTAAAACATTTTTTAACAAGCCCATCTATCTAATTCACATAGCATGGTTACATATCATGTCCATAGCGGTGACATTTGTTAACAATCCATATTACGCAATTTCTCTTTCCAAATAATTAAAAACCATCGTTATAAAAAATACTTTGACCGTGTATATTTAAATTTGCATAAATTTTTAATAGCCATTATTACTGAAATCTGACCCTCTAAAGTTTAAAATGCTTACTTGTTACGAAAATTTGGATTTTTTTTTAATAAGGATCAAATCAATGAAATCGTTTTGCTCAAAATATGTATTAGGTAATCATTTGACATTTCTTATAATTATTGTTGTACTTAACTATAACTTAACTATAAATATATTAATAATGTAAAACTTAACTATAATAAAATTGTGTATTTTTCTGATAGGAGTACATCTCGTCGATGAATGTTATTCTAAAATCTTATTTTTAGCATTGACTACAAAATAGATTATCTCCATTAGAAATTAATTCAACAATATCGAGTTTTTGTGTATATATACTACATCACTTAAAACTCAAAATCCCAAACGTTACCATACCCATGCTATGTGAAAAAAACTTATAGATATTGATTTTTTCGGTGGTTGTATCGAGCAGGTGTGCCGACCCGTATACCGTCACCGCGCGAGCTGGCGGCGCACACGCAGTCTATTATGCAGGGAGCGCTCATCAAGAAGAAGCTCGAGGAGCAGCGCGAGAACTACCGCCGCCGGCACGAGATGCACCAGCCCAAGCAGCCCACGCCCATCTCATTCACGCCCACCTCCGTCAGTATCACTACACTATTTTCTTTTTTTTTTTAATCAGGGGATATCCAGCTCAAGCGTCAAATCACGGCTCTCCAACCACTCCGCCCATGTATCTTAACACAATCATAACACTGAACATTTTATGTTAGGTTGAGTGTTATGGTTGTGTTAGGCTAACTACTACTAATACTCAACGGAACATGACCTTAAAATTAACCAACAAAATAAGTTATAAAAATATCTATCCTCTGTTCAGTGAGACGCGCATAACCTATGCGGATGTCCGTGGCGGACGGTAGAATGTATGCTTTCTATATAGTCCCTTCAATGGGATGCCGAGCTGGAGCTGAAAGAAGTTCTCATAAATTTACCCGCGACGGACGCATCCGTTAATCCGCGTGCGGACGAACCGCGTCGCATTGAACTGAGGCCTTAATGTTTCAAACACATTTTCAGCCAGTTCTTCTTTTGCCGGCTTGCCGGGCGGGCGAGCGCCGTCGAAACTTACTCTTTGAAACAACCACTTACGCTACTTTATAATATAACTCTAGCGCTTACTTTGCTTTCCTATTTTCTAATTTCTACCCCTGCTTCCGCAAAACTTTGGGAAGGGCGACAAATCGACGTGCCAAGACCAGGGTGGGGCGGTGCGATTCTGAACCCACTTAGCTTTCCAAAGATTCCACTGCTATCACACCTATGTCAAAATCGGATCAGAAATATAATACTTCGATAATTTAGGCATACTAATATTTAATATGATGATTATAGCACATTTGATTTGATATTGTTGTTTAGGTTCTCCGCAAGATGACAGCGGAGAAGGAGGCGGAGGCGCCGAGCCCGAAGCAACAGTGGGCACAGCCCCCCAAGCTGCCCCAGGGACGACCCATAGTCAAGGTAATAATACATAGCGTAACGACATTACCGATTCGCTGTATACCAAATAACAATACTTGTACTTAAACTTTCAACTATTTCTAAAAGTGTTTCTTCTATATTATTATATTCTAAAATAGTGATGATGCCTAGGTAAATAAATCTATTTAGTCCATTAGTCAGATAAAATAGAAAAATATTAGATACACGATGACTTACGGAAGCGAAACTTGGTCGTTCATTATGGGTCTCATTGGAAGGCTCAAGGTCACCCAACGGGCAACGGAGAGAGCGATGCTTGGTACTTCTCTACGTGATCGAATTAAGAGTGATCCGTAGGAGAACTAACGTTACTGACATTCCTCAAAGAATTGCTCAGCTCAAGTGGCAGTGGGCGGGACACAGCGAGAACTGATGGCCGTTGGGGCGGAGAAGTTCTTGAATGGCGTCCACGTACCGGACGACGCTCAGTGGGTAGGCCTCCCACCAGGTGGACCGACGGTCTTGTAAAGGTTGCGGGAAGCCGCTGGATGCGTACAGCGCAGGGCCGATTGTCGTGGAGATCTATGGGGCAGGCATATGCTCAGCAGTAATAATATAATATTTTTTATTGGAACTTTACATGTAACATCGTGTACGAAAGCTGCCGTTTTAGTATTAGGTGTGCGTTTGTGACTGCACAAACGCCATTGTATAAAGAACAACGTTCCACTTCAGAAAGTTAGATAATTCAAATTTAGAATTAAATAGTATGCATTCTTGTCATTACTACTGTATGTGTAGAATATTAATGTATATGAGAGTATGAGTGTGAGTTTGTATCTGTTTATGTGCGTTTGTATTATATATTATGTTTATGTGTATATTTCTTATACAAACCGCAATGCAGCACTATACGACTGTTCACTAATCTTCATCTTCAATAATCTTCCAGACTGACAATCTTCATCCCTCTTGTTGTCTGGTGTGTGATTCGTATTTATCAAGTCGGACACGAAACAATTTTAGCTGAAACAATTTTCTACCTTCTTTTTATATGATCAAACCGAGAACCTCCTTTTTGAAGTCTGTTAAAATACCAAAATTAAATCGTAAGCGTAATAAATATTGGGTTGGCACAAAAGTAATGAGACACACTAGAAAAATCTATAACATTTCCTTTTTAAAATCAATTTTTTCGATAATATTATAGAATGTTGTAGAACATTCTAGGTACTTCTGGTGTAGGGTATATAAAGCCGCGCTCGCGATTTGTTTAGTCAGTTTGAAGAAAAATGGACGAGCGACAAGTTCGAACACTATACTTATACGAGTACTTGTTAGGCCACAGTGCGCGGGCTGCGGCTGACAATATCAACAATCCATTAGGCGCTGGAAGTACAAGCCATGCGACGGTGTCCCGATGGTTTGACCGTTTTAAATCAGGAGACAGGAGCCTTGAAAGTCAGCCACGCTCAGGGCGACCACCAGCAGTGAATGATGACGATTTGCGCCGCGAACTGCAGTTGAATCCGGATGCTACCACTCGTGAATTAGCAGAAGCACTTAAATGCAGTCACCACGCCGTGGAACACCATCTGCATGAGCTTGGTTATCGAAAAGTTTTGGCTCGGTGGGTACCGCACATCCTTACAGACGCCAGTCGTGCAGTCCGTGTCGCTATCTGTCAGTCACTTTTGCTGCGACCCCGACGTAAAGAGTTTTTGTCAGATCTGGTTACTGGAGATGAATCATGGATTTATTACGAGAACGATACACGTCGTGCTTTTTGGCTGCCTCGAGAAGAAACGCCACCAACTCAACCGAAGCCGAGTCAAAAGAACCGCCGAAAAATTCTGCTTTGCTGTTTCTGGGGTGCGCAAGGCATACTGTTTTATGAGCTATTACACAATGAAACTATAAACGCTGACAAATATTCAACCCAGCTTACCAAATTATCTGCCGCTATCAAGAAAAAACGACGAAGACGAGTCAATGTAGTTTTACTGCACGATAACGCTCGACCTCACGTCGCATCTGTGGTTCGCCGGCAGTTGGAGAACTTGGGCTGGGAGACGATACCCCATCCACCTCATTCCCCAGACGTCGCCCCATCAGACTATCATTTGTTTAGAGCCCTGAAACAGCATTTGCGGGGTAAACAATTTAATGATTTCTCTGACGTAGAGGCGGAGTTGAACAACTTTTTCGAGGCACAGCCATCGAGAGTTCTGGGCAAAAGGCATCCAAACTTTGCCGGATCGTTGGCAAGAAGTCTTAGATACTAATGGTAATTACATCATTGACTAAACTTTTTTTATTGTAATAATAATAAAAAAGTAAAAACTTAAACCAAGTGTCTCATTACTTTTGTGCCAACCCGATACTTTTTTGAAAACCGCAATTTGGTTCATCCAAACGCGTGGTAATCGTATACAACAGTGCATGTATATACGTCAACCTCCTTCTTTAAAGACTGTTATATCAGATATGATTTTAATAGATATCTAGTTGCTAGAGGTTCTGGTGTTTTACAAATACCACTGTCAAATAATCCAACGCTTGGATGCGTGATAACTTCAGAGTAAATACGCAGTACCGTTTGTTGTAGGGCAACCAGAGCGGTGCCGCCCCACCTATGGGCTATGTACAATCACCGTCAGAATATCAGCAACACTATCTCAATCAACAACAACAGGTAACAATTGTTCTTGGTAACAAGTGAACTTTTCCATATTGTCTTGAGTTTGGGTGATATGGTTGGTGATCTTCGTTGTATCAGATTTTGGTAATTCAAGTAGGTATTTTAGCTACTTAATTTGGGATCTGATCATTGTATGTGATGTTGTCTCATATTTATTTAATTAATTAATAGATAGATAATTCTTTATTGTTGACTCTACAGAATTTACAGATGTATACTTAAAAGTAAACGTACAATATTTATATGACAATTTTAAAATAGTTATCCATTAATCGGTAAATATAGTATTTCGTTTTGAAATTGGAGCTTCTGTGATAGTAAACCCATTTAAAATATAAACGTGAAATTAGTCATGTTGATAAGCGCGCTACTGTGTTTCCATATTATGTTGCCAGCAGTTTGTGTTTTTTATTTGTATTAAACATAAATTCATCATTTTTGTTTCAGCAAATGGTTGGTGGTGTACGTTCGTTTACACATCCTCAGCAAAGGCAGCAACAAATACCAAATTCTGTGAGTTTTAATCAATTTACAATATATTCTATATGCTATGACACTTTAAGTGTTTTAATGGTTATTTATTTTGATATATTGTTATTATTCATGTGTCTCAGATTGTCAACCATTGATAAAATCTCCACATATTGCTAATGTGCCTAGCCACCATCTTGATGACGTAATTGCGTTCAAAAATTAGTACCGATTACAAATAATCGCTGGTTGATGAGTGCACTTATTGAGTTGTGTCGAGATCACACACCATTTTTGTTAGTTTTCAAACTATATAATAGCAACTGCTATTATGATTTTCACAATTAGTAAACATAATTTTAATAATAATAATAGATATATCTAATGTCTCATTTTATTATTATTTTCGGTTGTTTAAAAAAAAACTGTCCTTTCCGTTTGTTATCGCATTATTAAAAGTAAAGTAAATGTAATTTTTTTATATACCTCAATATTAACATATAAATTGATTATTTTCTAAAAATTCATGCAATAAATTAACAAACTCAAAATTATAAAATTATTGAAACAATATTCAGGGTATTTATTCATAAATACTTCAATAAATAATTTATCTATTGCCTTTTTATGCTATTTATACTTTTTATTTTAATATGACGTCACGCGGGTGTAATTTAGACAAGGTTCCAGCGATAATACGTCTAATATAAATATTGTACATATCCGTATATTAGTATAACAACATGAGCAACATGTCGCGCGGCGGCGTCGGCGGCGCCACACTGCAGCAACTGCTCGTCCACTCACACCAGAACCGACTCAACGGTAAATATTATAATTTTTGCAATTTCTGTGCGAGCCAAATACGAATGAAATCGGGTTAGCTATCAACTTCACGGCTTAGATATCATTTTAGTACTGGCAGCAAAGAAAATATGTTTCATAATATATTTTATAAACCTATCGCCATTTTATGACTTTGGGTTAGATTATTCAAAATTTCGAGATATATTTCCTCTCACTGTTAGTTATCGGATTTTTGTTACGTTTGGAAGTTCATCATCAGCCCTTTTACGTCCCCATTGCAATGGCTGAGGCCTTCCTTAACAATGGTTAAAGAGGGAGGAGGAGGTTTGGACGTTATTTTGAGTTTTTATAAAGATAATATTTATTGCCAAACCTTAGTTTCTGTTTACAAGTTCGTAATGACTACTTTTTTTGCATGCTGTACTAAACACACATCATTCTAGCTATTTGGCGTATTAATTCATCCGATTTTGTATTTATGCCGTTAGTACACCGACGCAATCGCATACGAATACGAAATCTTGTCAGTTGTATGGCAATATTTCGCTCTATTATTAGCTCGATGAAATTGCTGTATCTTTGTCACTACGGTTTCGCAGTCAACTGCAAAAAACATCGTTACACAGACGCACATGTTTCCCATACGAATTTTGTTTGAAACCCTTACAGCTAGTTGCACAAACGACCATTAAAATTTTCATTAGTTTAAAGCGACATTACCCATACAAATTTGACATTCAATAGAGCTTAAAGGCGTCATTAAACCGTAATGGACGTTTGTGCAACTGACCGTTAGTTTCGGCAGTTGTCGGTGTACTAACGGTGTTAATTTGTGATCTGAACAACGTATATCGATGTAGACATGGGCGTGGGCGGTGGTATAGGCGGCGGGGGTGGCGATAACCAGTTGGCCAGGTGGTTCTCGCCGGAGCTGTTGGCGCGCGCGTCAGCCGGCAAACTACCCTCCGTGCATCACGTGCCCAACGCGCTCTCGCTGGAGGATCTCGAGCGGCACCACCACTCGCCTGCGCCGCCCGTGCGCAACTGACCGCCCTGCCCCGCCGCCACAACTTATATACACTAGTGCTGCTGATGACGTGAGACGGAATGAACATTTTTATACGTTTCATTGTTAGTGAGGGAATAATCGTCGTCCAACTGGTTTTGTTACGAATCGCGATTCTTTGAAACTAGTGTAATGTTTTATTTTAATTGGTCTTGTAGTATCAAAAAAATATCAACCCCTGTTTATAATATTAGTGGAGATAGAATATAATTTCAAAAACCAATTTTCGCTAGTACCAGACTAATCTGATAAATATAATATTTATATATCTTGTGTTGTCCACCTTCGTTGCAAACGTTATAACTTTTAAAACGTTTGGATATGTAAAAAATTGTTTAGATAACTTACTACAAAAGTTTTAGGGGATAAAAATCTTATCATCACGCCAGATCCTTTTGCAGTGTAAGCTTATAACCAGTGGTCACAATTAATAAATATTTATTTACCTTAACGTTTTTGTTTAAAAAATCCATTTGGAGTAGTTACAGCTGATAATTTTAGTATGTTCATGAAGTTTTCTAATCTAGTCTGTTTAAAATTAATTCACTGAGCTAATAAAGTTATGGAATTAGAAATTTCAGCTTTCATTGGAAATATTAAAATTGATAGTTGTAAGGACTTTGCTTAGTGATGAGTATCTAAATAATAACACGTTAATGTTAAAAAACACTTGTGACATATAGACGTGAGGTTATAAAATCTGAGAAAAGTGGAAGAGATATTGGAAGATGAATTGACTGTGAAAAGATTGAGTGGGAGGCGCTGTGTAGATCTGTGCAATATTGGTGTTTTATAGAAAACATGTATTAATTTTGAATCGCGACTGATTTTTTTTTTGCGTAGAGCGCTTTATTGGACGAGGTTATTCTTTACTATCGATGCGTATATATTATTGTGTATTTACGGTGATGTCGTTCAGCTTTGAATCATCGAAGTGTTATAATAACCCTGCGTTGCTCACGTGACACTGTATAATTATTTTATTCAACAAAATATTGAGATGATGAACTTGAACTGTCATGATACTAAATCAATTGAAGGGATTTGTCAATTTTTTTTGACAAATCAATATATGGGTAAATGCGTGTGAATATTGAATTGAAAATAGATGTGTTGATTTTGCATGTAATATCGATTTTACCTTTATGATATGTCAAGAAAATCTAGGGGATTACGCATTTGTAAAATACAAATAACGCAAAAAATCTAGGGCTAGATGTACTGATCTTTATTATGTAGATGATTAGGTTCAATTTAATTGTCAGTTACTCTCGGCTTCGCTCATGTGGGTAAAGGCAAGATTAAGTTTATTCGCAACAGCAAGTCTCTCAGGCTAAAATCAAAATCATATCATAACAATTCTCTTGTTATCACATTAGTATAGATTAAATGTTGAGAAACGTGGGGTTATGTTACGATAAACAAATAATTGCGATATTTATATGTGCATACGCAGAAGCGAACGACGTCACGCGTACGTAGAAATTTGAAATGTGAATAGAATAACAGACAAGGAACAGCGTCGCGGAATTCCCATATAAAAGTTTGGACGATTCTAATTATGAAATTTTCTGTTTGGTGTTATAAAATAAAGTAGTGACGTCACTGATTCAGTGCTATTTTGAATGCTTGACGAGTTGTTCTCGTCGTAGCATGATGACGTTGCTACGATATTGACAGAAGCCGCTAAAGAATGTCAACAGATGGCGCTTACTATATTAATTTGTACGTTGTTATAAAACTAGACTTACCGTTGTCTTGTTTTCTTTTGTACCAAAACACTTCTGGTGTGTACACTTAAAAAATGATTATTTCGAATAAAAGCTACTTTCAAATTAAAACAAATTGTGGTCGAAATCGTAATCCATTTGTTGTAGCCATAAAAAAAGACAGTATGCGTACTGTAAAAATCGAAGTTTTTAAGTGTCCATATCAGGAATACCTTTATGTAATTGAACAATCTCGAAAATGCCCAGTGTTTCTCTGAAAATCTAAAAGTATGGTCGAAAATTATACCGTTTTCGTTGATAAAATTATAGTTTTATGTTCTCCTTATCCCCGTTTTATGATTTTTTTTCCAAAATTTTATCAAATTAAGATACAATCATATTCTTTAATGAATTTTGTTTAATTTAAGGAAAGTATCATTAGGGAATATGCTTGAGTGCAATTTGGAAAGGCATACAGTAAAAATATATGCTGTTCAGTGTATGTTCCATGGTTTTAAATTATTATCACTCAGAAATTTGTCTAAAATATGAAGACTTGATTCCGATAGTTTGTTGGAATTATTCGTCAGAATTTGCCAATTTAACGGCACCTTTTAAAAATACAAATATACCCATTATGGATTTATTTAACAAATTCTAGTTTTAATTTGAATTATGTGATGTACTTTTGCTGATTAAAATATATATTCAATGAAGTTCGGGTGCGCAGCATTTTAAATGCAATTAATTAGTATTTCTGAAAATAAAACGATGATCTCTTCATTTGATACATAAATAACTTCCAGGAATAACAATTTTGAAAGTGAAACTTTTCTTTCCATATTAATTTTCACATGATATTTGTGTATTCGGTTTATCAACGGTCGGACGCTGATTGGCGTGCAATAAGTCATTATAGATATTTTAATGCCATTTGTGTAAAAAAATATCTGTACATAATGTCTATCAAACGTGGCGAAGTGGCGTGTATTGAGTGTAACGTAAAATTTTGTGTAGCGTTGTTTGCGCGTGCGCTTTGGTCGCACAATGATTAGTCTGCAAAGATAATAATCGCAAATTCTATTCATCAATTTAACTACACATTAATTGAAAAAAAAAAAATACTTGAGTGAATGAAACGAATTGATAAAATTTTAATAAAGAAATTGTAAAAGTTTTCATGGAGATATCTAGGGAATTATTCTTAGTAAGATAGCAGCTGATGGCAGTGAGAAATTTTTGATGTGTTCCTTTGTAGTCATATTTGTAGCGTCTAGATTTTTTTTAAACTACTTTTAGTAAGCTCGTAAAGATTTAGAAACACGGGCAATCAATGGAATGAGAAATCTTATGTACAGCCGATAATAAGACACACCAAATTTCTTCAATCAATATTAAAACTTGTGATGTGATGGTTAAATTCAAATTGATTGGAAAAATATGGCTCCGTTTTAGTAATCTGGTATGTATACCAAAGCAGTTTGGGAGAACATAAATGTCATTGTTGCATGTGTGAGTAACTATGGTAGTATTATTAATTTATGTGACATTCGCGAAAATCAAGCTATGTATAGTCAGCGTCATAATCATCGAAACGCCCAAGATGATAAAAAATATCAATTACAGAAGTTCAATAGGCATGCGCCCTACAAGTAAAAATATGGGTTTCCGTTATGTCTTCGGAAAATATTAAATATTTTGACTCATAAATATTTTATATAAATAAATTTTATGCCATTAATTTGGATCATATTACGCTTTGGAAAGTTGAAAACAAGGAGGGAAAATATACTTCGAAAATTTGCTAAAATACGTATGACATTAAATAAGTTACATAAAACGTTACAAATTTCATTATAACAATTAAAGATAAATCCAGAAATTACCAAGATGCTCTTACGTTTTTCTCTAACCGTGTATTTCACTTAGTGCCTTGAATATGTAGGGAGTGATTTCAGCCGACTAGCAGCAGTTTCACAAACATAGCACCATATCTCCGAAACTATTAATCGCAGAAATCCTGTTTCTTCTACATTAAATATTAATGGATTATTTATCTTTTAAAAAGTTGACAATTAGCTTATTATAACTAAACAATCAAACTTGCATATATCGCGATCTAAGTTCGCAGTGATCAAAATATCTTGGAATCATTTTATCCGTTTTACCTACTAACAACTTATTTAGAATACATTAACTTGATTTGAGTCGAGTGTATAGAGTCTGGCAAGCGAAACGTGTCACAAGAAAAGGGCGGCAATTTCAAAAATTCTTAAGCAGTAAACACTGAATGTAGTACTGCAAAATAATTTTGATACTTTTATTAATTATATTTAATCTTAACATTTAGATATCAATTAAAATTATTTGTTTTGGAACATTTGACTAAAGCGTGACTGTTCTTAATTGTACAGTTAACAGCATATCAGTAGGCCTATTCACTAACTCAACTGACAACCAAGAATCGTCATCACCGTAAAAAATAGACACTTTGATTGTGTCAAAATCACTATTTCGTATTCTCTATCAATGATGAGCAATTTCGAAATGTCAATATCGGCATTCTCCACTGGACTCCATTTTGACACTTGATTTCGTATCGATAAACTGTATTAAAGTAACATTGTTGCAAAGCATATTTGAAGTCGTCGCATAGTACCTCTTAAGCCATTTGTTGTTAAATTAAAGCGAAAAAAAATACGTATCCAATATTTTTCTATTATCTGACTGACGGACTAAATCGAATCTTTTTTTTAACCCATTCGTTATACCTATTGGCTAACAGCACTTATAATATTAAAAATTCATATTTGTCATTAATTAAAAGGGTGTTTTTTGCAACGACTTCTTTGTTTTTTTGTAATGAATATGGGCGACTCTGGCCACATTTTTTTAATAAATGTGATGTTAGCCAATTTTGATTTCTGGCCCTTATATTTATAATGTGTTCATAACACATACATGTCTCCTAAGGGATTTTCATCACAACCTTTTGCTCTGATCCAGAACCACTATCTATCAAATTAAATTAGTCAATATAAACACCAGATTACAATAAAAAAAACATTTATTTTTGTTACAATTAAGTGCCATGGATAAATTACATAATACAGGTGTCACAAAATCATCATGTTAATCACAATAGAAAATTTAAGATAAGATTTTGACTATGAATCAGACTAAAAATACTTTAGTCTGATTCATAGTCAAAATCTGTTTCTAAATATTCTACACCTGATAACAATGACAAGGAATCATCAGAGTCACTCTCTTCACTACTGTCTGCACCAACAGATATAATAAATTTTTCAAGTTCGTTTTCAACAATGCCATCTTTTAATTTGTAATCATTTTCGACATTTAAAACATGATCAGTGTATTTCTTCCAGTCACTAGGGGTAATTAAGTTAAAACACTCTATTATTAAGTTTTCCATTTCCTTTCCTGGTATTCCAATGTTTCTGCTTGCAATTTTTCTTTTTGCTTGACTCCAAACCATCTCTATTGGGTTTAAGTCACAATGATACGGTGGCAGCAATAAAAGTTCATGATTATGTTCTTTTAAAATCTCTTCAGCTTCATATACAGGCAATGTTTTCTTATCATTAACCAAACACATTAACTCTGCCTTTGTCTGATATTCCTCAAAATGTATTCCATTATTTACAAGCCATTTACGGATATCTGCTTTGGTATTAGACATTATAGGCGGTTTATTGATTTGTTTTATATGGTAGCTGGCATTATCCATAACAATTACACTGGGCTTACTTAAATTTGGTATTAATTTTTCTCTGACCCATTTCATAAAGTTCGATGAGTTCATATCATCATGATAATCAGCAGATTTGGATTTACTACTGAACACTAATAATGCACCAGGCACAAAACCTTCCTCAGATCCAGCATGCACAACAATATGCCGTTTTCCAGAGGATATCTTTGTAGTGACACCAGTTGTTGAAGGTCCTTGCCAAGACTTTTTAACTTTATAATTCTGATGTACATAAGTTTCATCAAGGTACACAATTTGCTTTCCTTCGTTTCGTTTTATATTTATTTCTCTCAAATACTTGTGCCTCCATGCAGAAATCTGGTATTTTTCTATAAGCATAGAACGTTCATTTTCATTGCTTTTAAAAGAAAATCCATTCTTAAGAATAATTTTTCGTAAAGTCTCACGGCTACCACTGAATCCTATTGCATCTTTTAATTCATTGTGAAGGCTTCTTAATGTTGGAACAATTTTTTTCACACAGTAAAATTCATTTACTTTATTCCGAATTGCACTTAAATCAAAATTATCTAAAGCAGACACTGTTGGTTGATGAGGTCGTTTTTTCCCAGGAGTGTCCCATTTTCCTTTATTAATTAATGCTTCATTTTTTATCCTTCTTAGTGTCCTTATACTTACATCTATAAAAGATTAAACACTTTGAAACAAAGATATGTTAAATGTATTTAAAAGCAAATAATGATAGACACATACATCAAAATAATTTAAATACCTATTCAACTATGAATGCAATTTATGTTTAATTTAGTTAAGTTTATGTGCATATTTAGCATGTATAACAATTACATGGTTTGATTAGTTTCATGAATTCTGTGAATTTCCTTGTTAAACAAAACATTCTTATGACATCATTGGATGTCAACAATAAAAACCAATACATCATAAAAAACCTATGTAAATATTATAGGAATACTATCAATCTATCTTAAATCAAAACAAGAAAAGAGACCTGTCATTGAAGAAATTTTTTGTAAGTACTGCGTTTCCGAATTCAGCATTTCTTGTTTTTCTAAAGTTTTTATTGCATTTATCTCCTCCATTATTGGTTGAATATCACCATCACAGTTATCTGAAATAGAGCAATATTTTATAAAAAATATCTGTTTAGTTAATTACAGAAAATTAAAACGAAAGTATCAAAATTATAATACAAAACTAACCTAAAAAAGATACAACTTTATCTAATCGTTGTAATTTCTCCATGAAATTTTTATTTAATTCAGTTTTCACTTCAGTAAACTTGTCAATCATGATGGAAAGAAGTTTCCTCGATGAACTTTTTATCGGCTTCGACATAATTTTTAACCAAAAACACAAGTTCAAATTCGCAAAAACAACAAAATTCAATATTCTTGAATTGTCTAACGTAGTGTCAAACTGACAGTTCTATGTTGTTGCCATATGAAAACGGAAAAATAGGTGGTGTCACGTTTCGCTTGCCAAACTCTAGTGTATAGTCCAATTTAAGTTTTGGTACATAATTGACGAAAGGTTGGAAAATATTCTGAATACTGCGTAGTTAGA